CATACTGCGGTGCAGACCGTATTAACACAGCGATAATTAGGCATCAGGATGCTGTATGGCCTTTACCATGCGTTGGAAATTAATACTAATGGGTCTTTTCCCAATGCAGATCTAAAAAAAAAAGTACTCACTTTTGTCAATTTGTATTATGGTTAATGGACCTTGTACTCAAGTGGAAGTGTTAAATGACATGCTCATCTTTGGAGATAGTTGTAATGGACTAAAGCTGCACCAGAAAGGGAAATGACCCAGAGCAAGCCGCTGACCTGTTTATGTTTCATATTCTTCTGGGTACCCCTACTCCATTACAACATCATACTGATAACCCCCATTACATATTCTGAACTTCATGCTGACTTCCAGGGATCTGTCTCTCAATAATGATTTATAGGTCTAGATTTTAAAAAAAAGGCTCTTCCGCCTTGTTTGTGAAATTGTGATTCCCTCGATTTTTCACTTGGGGGCAGTGCAAGGCTACCTAGTCCCACAGTTAAACTTCGTATCTCTCAGGAGGGAAATGTGCTATTAGTCATAGTTCTGTACTACTAATTGTAAAAATTAATATAAGTTCAAGGAAGTAAAATGTTGTATTATCATTCCTTCTCAGTCCTGTATGAGTTATGCCATTTTTAAATCTTAAAATAAACTCACATATACAAATGACATGAGTTTGCACTTCTCCACTTCTCGTCTCTTCTCTTCTCTGCACAGACTGCTTTTTCCATCATTGTTTTCATTCCCTATAATCTTATGTACAAATACATGAAGTCTGAGCATTCTGCTTCTAGTAAGTCAGTCAAATTATGTGTTTTGGGTGGTTTCATTGACATTGTCTGGTATCAGAAAATAAAATCATGATAAGAACTTTGAGTATGGCGAAACATGATGAATATATGTCTTTGTGTATAGGTTAACAAAGCCAACTGACCAATAGAGAGACTGGCACAACAGAGAAACAACACATCTTAACTCATAGGACCCTAGCCCTATTTTTAGGCCTCTGCTGAAAAATTGCATAGCCATACTCAAGAGAGTCCTGAGCTCTAACTACAAGGTCTATTTTAATAATTTTGATTCTAGAATACTGGTAACACTTGTGAGATCTGTTGAATTGTGTAAATATTGTGTATATGTTACTGGTTAATAACTGATACACTTATGGCACAGCTCAAATTGAAAAACCTCTAGGTTCGCCTGAAAAAAAGCACTTTTATTGAACTTTTTTTTTATTTTAAAGAATGCAGCTGCAAGCCTAAAAACACGCCACAGTCATAGAACAACACGTTTTACATGTCCCCACAACATATTTTACTTCGATTGAGTGAAGCAGGCCAGCATAAATGGTCATAAAAATCAAAATGTTGATTTTCGGAACCAGCTGTTGCATTGCTGTATACTAATTTTATATACTATATAACTAAATATTAACTATATATTCACTTTTCTTATCACTAAGAGTGTTCAATAATCCTAATAAAGCAGTTTGACACCATTTTGAATAATTTTGAGCAGTTATGATGTGTCATATCTGTCATTCATAACAATAAATGGCTCATAATGTATGTCTATGTGACCCTGGTAAGGCCGATTTACTGGTGTGAGCCATTTTTAGATGCGGGATAGTCCAACGGGAGCCATGCAGGGGTGTTTGATCGTATCCGGGTCTGTTTACTGACTAAAAATCGCAAAATGCTGGGCGAACCCCCCTCTCTACATGTATTGCTCCACCCCACAGAATCGTCTGCCATTTTGTGATTCATTCCGCCAGCGCATTGATCTCACTCACAGACATGCAGCAGAACATGGCGGGCATAGCTGTGCAGAAATCGGCTCGAATAAATCCGTTTTTCATCGCCAAAACGTAAGTTTTTTTACCCAATTTTTTTTCTCGTGACCTGCGGCTGATGTTGGCATGCATACCCATAACTTTTGAATGGTTTGAAAGAGAGTAATTTGGACGCCGCTGTGCGTTTCCGGGTCGAATCGTGCCCCTCCTGCATGTGTTCATCCGCCATGTGCGATCCTGCTCCGTGATGAGAGAACCATAGAGTGAGCATAGGTCGTCGATTTTTGGCCAAAATTGTGGCAAATCTTCTAGATATCTTCCAGATATGATATTAGTTCATGTATAATTGTGTTTGCAGTGTTTACAATGGCTGGTATGATGATGTTGCTCGGACTTTTCCCGTTAATTCGATATTTAATATGTCTGGAGCAATAATCATATTTCTTTATGAAAAATGCTTTCTACTACACGCTGAATGCTGCACACTCTAAAACAGCCCCCCGTGGGGGGCTCTCGGGTCCTATGGTTAAACAAGGTCCTCCGAGCAAAAAGAACAGCGTGTTCACATTTCATCTTCTATTTGATTAATGTCCCTTCACAGTATTAATCAAAGCAAGGGTGTTCAGTAAAATCTTCTCAATGACTGATGACTTATTTTTCAATTGTCCAAGGTATGTAAGGAGTAAAAACATAGATAAATGGTACATTTGTTATAAACTACACAAAACTGTGCTGGGAATGCTGCCGCTGAAATGGATGAGCAGCCACTGCATTGCTTGAAAAGCTGTAAACTGAACTAAATCGAATTATGAATAGCTGGTAGCTGAACAGAATTGTTTGATAAATGTCTGGGAGATAAACTGCATTGCTGGCTTAACTTTGTTTTAAAGAGCAGCTGAATTGTTGGAATGATAGGAAAGGGATAAAGGGGGCCAAATATAGTGTCAGCAACGAAAGGTGTTGAAGTGAGAGTGATAGTGTAAGAATTTATATGAGCATAAGTGTTCGGAGAAGTAGTTGAGATGTCATTCAAGTCTCTTAGTTTGATTAGGGGGTAAATCATTAGTTCTAAGCCTCAGTAATTGCAGTCATTACAGCATTTTACAATCATGCCAGTGTCCCTCATCTGAAATGGAATGAAGTGCTGCTGCAAACAATCAGCCTTTTGCTCAAAGTGCTTAACTGATTGACGAACGGGCAGCAACTACACAGTCGGTTTGCATGTCTCCTTTGCAGCAATAACACCAGCTGTAAACAGTTAAGGACCCAACGAGGTGTGCTAAAATCAGTGATTATTTAGGCTCCATGGAACTGAACCTCTGCTTTCTGGGAAATGTGAGTGCCCTAACAGACACTGATGGGTATGTAGTTTTATGGCAGAGCCAGTTATGAGTAAAATGAAGCACCTGAATTCATTCAATTTTCACTGAATCATATAGTTGATTCACTTAAGGTGGTTTCGGACACTGGTTGAGACTCTTGACTCTTGATCCATTTTACACACACATGAATGTATGGCTAGGAAGCTTTGTTAATTTAATTAAAGATGATTTTGGATTACATAATGATCTGCAGCTGACTGGCTAGTTGGTGAAGGTTTCTTTCCAAGAAGCTTCTCTGGACTCATGGGAATCAATTTCCTGTCAAATGAAACACAAATATCCTTAATGCTCAGTATTTATTAGATTTAAGAGCAGGCAGGACATCTGCATCCTGCCAGCTCTCTGCTGGGAGGTGACATACTGTATCTGTGGGAAGCAGTCAGAGGCCCTTTCATGTCATCACAGGGGCTGGCTGGGCAAGGCAAGTCACTTTGAGAGTGCTATGGAGGGGTTCAACCAGAAGAGGCCTGAAGTCACCCAGGCTGTAAAAGTTATCCAGGACTCCCTTGGAAGTCATAAAACACATGTTTACTCAGCACATGAGATATTTTCCATAAATATGCTTTTGTTTCATCACTGGAGTTCATGGGAGTTTATAAAAAGCCCGGTATTTATAAAAAACAGTATAACTTTGGCCTTTCTCACTGATTTTGCGTGACATCATTTTCATGTTAAGTGATTCATTATTTGTTAATAGTTTATCATTGAAATTTCTTAGAAGTGCTGAGGGATTAGACTCATTTATTCAGAAGTATTTCTCAAGACAGTTTATGACACGAGGGATTTTGTGTGAATCTAAGCTTTCTTTAAAAAATGGATAGCCAATTCAGACACTAACTCGAAATAAATTATTTTATATCCTCCTTGCACATAGTTAAGAACGACCATTACACGGTGTAGAGGGAAAACATACAAATTCATTTATAATTGATTAAATGGTGCTTCATTGGGCTTTTAAATAGAACATTGAACTTCAGTCAACCATATACAAGGAAAAGTGATTTTTGCCTTTCTCCACCTATATTGTTGCTGAGCTGAGGGAAGGATGTGCGTGTGAATAGAGAGTGTCCATCCATCCATCCATATTCCACCGCTTATCCTGGGTCGGGTTGCGGTGGCAGCAGGTCAAGCAGGCCGACCCAGACCTCCCTCTCACCGGCAACATGTTCCAGAGAGTGTATTCATGAATATATTTTTTTATGAATATTCATAAAGAATGAATTGCTTTAGAGACCAAAAGTTCCCATTTCAAGCAAGTTTACTGATAGAGCTCTATGGCAGAATTATTGCTTATTTAATAGTTAAAATAGTCTTTTTACAGTGGTGATTTAAATAGCAACTTTACACTAAAACAAAAAACGAGATGAGGACATAATCAAAAGAGTAACATTATTTATGCTTTCCATATGGTCATTGTGATACATTGTGTGTGTGAAATTGAATTATTGGGTCACAAAATGGCCCATTTTTCCTCATCAATGTTGACGGGTCAGAGCTTTCCCCATGACCCAAAAGGTAAAACACTTGATCTACATAATTACCCTACAAACACAAATCTGGATCATATAATCCATCTCTGTAAATTCAGTATGTAACGTGCAATGTCATTCTCACAGCTACCACTCAGTCGGAGGTGTGACCAAAGAAAATGTTCAATAAGGTTAAGACTCACTAAAGCTACTCTTAATTAGGTCTTCACTGGCTGTGGCAGTTAATGAGAATGTTTCCCCGTGGTGCGAGTAGTGGGCCCGTTTGAAGCAGTAGCAGAATGTTGATTTTATGACATGACGTCATCATATGGCGCATGACGTAGACTATCTGCGCCGCGGAAGCAGGAAAAGACGATGGCGGTGTCTCAACCAACGCAAGAGAAAGAGAGCGAGGATTGCTCTTTGCTGCCTTTAGTTCATGATATTATCAAATGGTAAGATTACCTGCAGATTCACGTGTTTACTCGCTGCTCTGTGAAAACATCGTTGCTTGTCGTAAACAGTCGATTTGGGGGTGTAGCAAAACTGTTAGCTAAAACTAACGTTAGCTTATTCCGCTAGGCTAACTAGAAACGGTAGCTAAATGTCCAAGACAATGTCAACATGGCACTAACATTTCCCCATGTTCACCCTACTGTCTTTAAGCATGGACAAGGACAGCCAGGATGTCCACCAAGAACTGGCCAAGCTGAAGGTAAAGATCCAGGAGGCTCGGGAGCAGATATCCAACATGCCCGGGGTAGACAGCAGTCCGCTGGAGCAGCAGCAGCAGCTAGCTACCCTGCGGGAGCAGGTCCGCACCAAGAACCAGCTGCTGCAGAAATACAAGAGTTTGTGCATGTTTGACGTGCCGAAAGCATCGTGACAGCCGAAGACTGGATTACTGCACTGATTGGAGGAAGCTCACAGACAGTCGAGGTTTTGTTTTCATCCTCACCTGTAGGGCAGTTGTGGCATTCAAGAACACGGGGTGGACAAATTAAATGAACAAGGACTTCTTTTCCCTCAATTGCATCGCAATGTAAATTGTTTTTGAATGTCACACACTGTCACTTTTTTACCTTGCGAAAATGCAAACTTGCTTTATAGTATTTGTATTCAATGTAGTTTTTCAGTTAATCCTTTTCTGTAATATCTTGCAATTTTTGTATTAAAATAATTGATTATCAACTATTGGCTTACAGCCTTATTTGATTTGCCAACTAGTCATACACATTCTTTTAAGCCTGTGACCATCATAAATTAGCCTAAGCATCTTTTTGATGCAAAAAGTAAGCAACGTGATTATTCATCCGGTTGCTTTTAAGGGGATTTGTTTGATTTAGGGATTTGTGTCAATAGTGGAATATATAATGCCTATCCACATTTAATTGGTGCATGGCAGATGGCTGAAATACAGTTGAAAAAACATGTTAATGGTCCCTGTTGACCATTATGTCAGTTATCTGCTTGTAAGAAGTGACAGGATGAGCTATCGGGCATGTATTAACAAATGAAGATTATTTAAAGTGACAACCCAGAGGTACTGCTGCATGACATTTGTGAGTGCAGTGTTTTGTGTAACTTCACTGTGTTTTGCTTGAAAAGAAAGAAGAGGAAGACAGACTAGGAAAATAACAAGTGGTTTTATTTTCTCTTTTATCCAAAAGTTGACGTAGACATAAGTAAACATTTAGATTCAAATTTGTTCGTAATGCAACAAACATTCAAGGTCCAACAAGTTTGGAGAGGAAAAAAAAAAAAGCAAAATGTAAACTTTTTTTTCTGCAGTGCCGTTCTCTGCAATCTAATATAGAGGCAGATTTGTACAGTATTTTCAGAGCATCTACTGCATCACTTCACGGGGACAGGCCTATGAGCTGGGCCCCATGTAAGTGTCTCATCACAGTTTGCATCACAATGCGTCTCTCAGGCGCTGCAGGCTACAGTGTTTTGGGCTGTATGCACAATGGCTTCAGTTTAGTCTCAGGACGTCAGCCGCACACAGGCAAAGAAAAGTGTCAGCATATGATGCAGCCTTTCTCTTTGGCCTGGTTGCCTCCTATCGCTTTCTCCTTTATGTACATCAAGTCACTCTGCACGCTGGGTCTCCGTGCAAACGGCGCCACGATACCATATGCGTTCCCATCTTTGCGCTTCTTGCTTTTGAAGGACTTTCGGCGAAGAACCTCGCAGTACTGCAGGGAAACCTTGCAGTGCCGACCGGGGCACATCTCGTTCGGCAGCTTGGCCAAGGTAAAGAGAGTCTGAAACATTTGGTCCACGTTGGTGTTCTTCTTCGCTGAGATTTCAAAGTAAGCGCAGTGCTCGTCTCCACCAACCAGCTGCTCGACCTCGTCCTCCTGCACCTCACGGTAAAAGTCTCTGTCACACTTGTTGCCACAGATCACCAGCGGGACGTCCACGTTCTCCTTGGTTTTGTTTCGCAGGCAGGACTTGGACTCCTGAATCTGGCGCTTCAGGCGCTGCACCTCTTGGAAGGACTCCCTGCTGTCCAGGCTGAATACCAAGATGAACACATCACCTGGAAAACACAACGGAAGACGCGTTCAATGTCAAATAATAATAACAGTTTAATAGCGACATATGCACTCTGCAAACTGCATTATGCTATCGGCGTGACGTTTTAAAGCTCAACTCACCAGTTAGAATTGAAAGCCTCCTCATTGCAGGAAACGGATGATTCCCAGACGTGTCCAAAATGTCCAGTTGGTAAACGTCTCCCCTGATGCCGTAGAGTTTCCTATGAAAGTCCTCAATGGTGGGTGTGTACTGGTCGTCAACTTTCTCGTTCAGAAACCGAGAGATGATGGCTGTCTTTCCAACTTTAGTGGAGCCCAGAATCACCATCCTTTGGCAATTCTTGGCCGGTATGTTGAACTCATTCTCAGATGGTGCCATTTTCTTAATCATGCTTGCAGCAGTTGCACCCGGAGGTCGATGGTGCTGTAGCAAGAGATGTTTTTTTTAAGTCCTTTCAGTGAAGTGAGAGGTTCTAACCTCGCTGTCTCTCTGAATCCTGAGTAGAGCAGGCTGGGGATTTATCGGGGAAGTTAGCCGCGCCTCCCAAATGCGTCATGCCTCACGCACCAGTTTGGGGAGCTGGAGCGAGACACGATATTATAATGTTACTATAGCTGTTTTTGTGCGTCAGCCCTGTCCACCCCTCATCAACAGAAAAAGGGGAAAGATAGCTTGTTTCCAAAAAGAAGGCTACATCTTTTAAAACAAGTTGCCATAGTTTCATGCGTAATTACCACGAATGAACTTCCTATGAAATGTCGATTATGTCATTTGACATTTTTTAAATCTTAAAAATAAAAGTAACTGCGTGCATACTGGGTTTTAATAAACCTCGTATGTGCGTGGACCTAAACAGCATTTTCTTTGTTTAGCTTATAGAAACGCAGGCAGTATTGGCTTTATCTGTTTCCTCAATCACCTGTAATTAGTGAACAGACTTTCCCTCAGGAGAGAGCAGCGGGATGAAGTGAGGTGAGGAGAACGCAGGGGCTTGTTAAAACTGCAAAAGTGTGTTTTTGCTCTTAATAATCTTCATACTGACTTTATGACTTGATGTGTGATGTTGTATAATCAGCTTGTTCTCATAGGCCTATGTACAGCGGTCTTATATTGAATTCATGTTTTTTAAATGTGCTTAATTCCTCTTATCTATTGTAGTTATTGTTTAAAAACTTTTTTTTATTAGATTAAAAAAAAAATGTATTCATCATATATAATAAGGTTATGCCATACATTGTGACCAGTATACTGTATATCACAGTCCTCTGGGGGGGGGGGGGGGGGGGCAACTGAAAGTCTCATAAAATGCAACATGCAATTAAATGACATTTTCCTTTACTTAAGGTAAACAGTTTCATTGGGATTAACATATATTTCAGAGTGATTGCCAAAAGGGCAGCAAAAACATTGTTACAACAATAAATACAATACCAACCACATAATCAGGCTATGACAACTGTCACATGCGTCTAGATTGAAAACAATATCCAGCTAAGGAGACTAAACAAGCACGAGTTTCCAAATATATACAACACATTTAGAAGCAGTGGCAGTGCTATCGTCCAGATCCTTCATCAAATTAGAATCCAAGAGGATAATGGATTTATCCAACTTCTAAACATAAAAGCTTTACATCTGCTGGGTGAGACGAAATGTAACATCATTGTGAATGCAAGGAACAATGAACAAAAATAACAATGAGAGAAGAAAAAAAAACCTAACTAACAGCGGCAATGGTGCCTGGAAGTCATCGAATCAAATTTGTATTGACTTTCTTGTATGTGTTAATTAAAGTACCCCAGAGATCGTCTGAAGATAGAGCCCCTCGTTTTTGACTGAAACTCTGCTCATCCGCTCTGCCACCTTACTCACTTATCACCTTTATCTACTCTTCTCTCCTGTGAATCAGTGTGGAGGGAGAAAATTACTTCTAAAAGAGAAAATCTTGTTTGTGGTTCATGTGTTACTTGTGCTCCCAAGACGGTTTCAGCATCTACACTATTAACCATGTTAACCATCTATTTAATCAATTATTTCCATAACTTTTCTCCTATACATGAGCCCCGTATTGCTTCTTCTATTTGCCGTTGTTTTATCATGTCTGAACTTGTGTACATTACAAATTATAATAAGAAATAAGTTATACAAACACAGATAATATATCCATCACGTGTTATTTCAAAGAGCTGATAAAGAACATACGCCAAACCACACAGTTATTGAGCTTTTAGGAAAGGCTATTATGATAATAATTCATTATAAATTATTCTAGCCATAAGGATTTGTCAGTGTGTCAAGATTCCCTGAGTTTACAAACTTGCATCATCGCTGGATTAAGTTGAAGGAAGCAGCAAGGTTCAGAAGGTGGCCATTTAAATCATGAATCATAAACATTTTTTACACAATGTCCAAAACAGATCTAAGAAAAACCTATGGTCCTAAGTCGTGGTATTTACATTGGTTTCATGTGAAACCTAAAACCTGCCAACACTGATGACCTTCTTTAGCCCTCTGTAGGGCATTGGGGATGAAATCAGATAGGTGTGCTTAAGCCTGGTTGTTCCCTGCTTGATCAACGGGTTTGTGTAACCGGGTCGGAGTGAACCATACCGCCTTCACTATTGGTCAGTAATTAAGCCAGTGTATTCCCAGCGATGTGTATAACAGCACACATGCATACAGGCTTGTTCAGCACGGCACTGCCATATAACACTGCAGGCAGTGTTATATGGCATAACAAAACTACTACATATTTACATAAAAACTACATACACCTGCACAAAAACACGATAAGAGGGAATATCATGAAACACATCGGTAATTATTTCTGTGCATTTTGATAGGCCAGTTGTTTAAGGCATTTAATTAATTAATCACATTTTTTTGATTATACACTTGGATACTAGCGGTAAAAATGTAATTGAGTTTTTTTCTGCACGCACTTATGTGTAAGACAGATTTAGACGTTATTCAATAAATCCCAAAATCTGCTTCATAAAAAAGGTAGCAGCTGACATAAAACAGGTCATGGCAAGAGCTTAGCCGTTAGAGTTTCTTAATTTCCTTGGTCAGAGAAAGAGAAACATCAACATTTCAACTGTGAGTTCTCTTGAACCTCAATGACAAATACATAGACCCTGACTTACCTAAGACCCAGCTCAGGGCCAGTCAGTGAAAACACAAACCGTACAGTATAATTCGTCTTTAAGGCACAATCTCTTTCTCTGAGGGCCTCTCGACTCGGGTCTTTAGTCTTAACCTGTGTTTGTGTCTCAGCCTGTTTGCAGCTTGTTCTGTTTGCAGGACCTCGACACATGCACTGTCCTGGCAACGTCGCCCTCAAGCAGAGTAAGCACACCAGCTGCAGCCCACTGAGGCCACGGCCAATGATACGCATTAGACTCATTTCCTTCTCAGCCATGTTTGCCTTCATCTATTAGTGCAGAGGACAGAAAAAACTATGAGGACACCGAGCTTCACAGCTGATGTTTTTATTTATTTTTAATTGATGAAGTGATTAAAGCTGTGTTCAGTTAAACACATCCAAGCCATGTTTTAATATGAAGGATCCAATCTTGTAAAAAATAAGAAAGATGAAATAGGAGAATGGATTGTCTCGTTATTTTTTGCCAGTTAAAATACGATAAAGGCTAAAGACACAGCTGCGGCATGGAGAAGTCTGAGAGTCTTTTTGCTGCTAGGAGCTTTTATGTATTTATGCTTACGCCACAGAGGCAATGTGTGTCCGTACAGCAAGGCCAATAAAGTCTGCTGGGTTTACTTGTTTTCCAGAATATTTTTTATAACACATGAGCAGGCCATGTGACAGTGAGACAGCAACAACTCTAGATTCTCCAAAGAATTCTTCCAGATATTACAGCCATTTAATTGTTTTCGGTTGACAGTTTCTAATTTTTTTCTTGGTACTATTTTTTTAAAATGTGGCAAAGAGTTTGGATTTGTTTTGTTCCCCTCCTTCGACTCAAAATCTCTGACCTCACAAGAGGATGATAATTGAGCTGTGTTTGTATCCATGTATTTTGCTAAAATGCGCCAGTTTGCTGGAAAATATCTAAATACAAAAATGCTAAAAAGTCATCTGTAGACTATGTGCAATGAAGCCTGCAAGTGTAGTCGGCTGTGTTTACTGGAACAACCAAGAAAACAAAATTCGAAGGACATTTTTTTAATATTCCACAAATGGATGATATGTTTATAACATCATCTTTCTCTCTCTGCAGAATCACTACTGACCAGTTTAACTCGGCAAGATAAAATCTCCCCTTATGGAGAGATACGACTTGATTAATTCAGTCTTGCTGGTGCAGGAGAGGCTATCTGATCTTGTATTCTGAGGGGAGGTGGGGTCATTCTGTGTTTTCATGGCGTGAGACTTGCGGCTGTTGCGTGTCAGGCCGGGCCATGACTGTTCAAACTGTTGAATGAAGCATGATCCTTCAGGTTTCCAGTACAAAGGCTTCAGGTTTCAGAGCCAATCAGAGCTTTGCCCACCACCTGCATGTTTTGATAAACCTACAATCTGTTAACTGTGTTATTATCCGTGACATGCAAACTCATGTCAGACTCCCTGCATGACGTACAACATGTGAAGCAAAACAACATTCTGTGTGATTTTAAGGCCTCCATGCACAATCAGGGTTACACTCTTTCAGTATTGTATGATCTGATGTCGGCACCAATTTCATCCCACTCTGAGGGAAACATACCCAGAAAATGATCATGTTTGATCCATCAATGTCATTTTAACCTTTTATGAGGTGATGGCGGTGGAACTCTTATGAAGACAGAACGCTGCTAGAACTATAAGCACTCTTTGTGTCAGTTATCAGAAATGATTTGGCATTGGTTGACAACATCACATGCACCGAACAGATGGCGGTTCAGAGGGTTCTTCATGACCTGTCTGACCTGCGATTCTTCTGAACAGGTGGTTATTTTGCTAATGGACTGAAGAGCAGTGAACGCACAGACAAACACATCGGATTACGTGGACCTGGAGACCTGAACTCACCTTACAAAGTAGGAAGGAAGTCAATATCAGTTCACTTCATGAAACAAACAGAAAGACTGATAGTTACTGATACTACTAGCTGATCAACTAGCATCTGAGCACAAGGAAAAGTGACATTACATCTGCAAGTCAACCTTAGACACTTTCGACACAGCTTATTTTATTTTTTAATAAATATGTCTCAAACAAATCCTCAAATCAGGTATGTAGTGAAAAAGAATAAATTGATTACCAATTTTGTGTTTGGTTATTATGCGTATAGCCCAACCTTTTTCAATTTATTTTAAGCTCTGAAGTGTGGTGAGGGAATAGGTCCCTGAATACTTAACATTTGGATTCATAATGGCATGCAGTGATCGGTGAGGGTAGGCAGTATATTTATCATTAAAGTGGATAGAGGCATATTTACAGCCCACTTTATTTTTTTAGATGTTTTTTTTCAGT